CCTCCAGGAGCCCCACAGGTGGTGGAGAGCTGAGAAGGCGCCCCTTACCCTCTGGATGGGGGAGGGGAGAGTAATCCCTGTAATTACCAGAGCACTCCCCATGACAATACTGGGGTCAATTTTACTAAGACTCTGCTGGGCGCGGTGGCTCATGCCTGTAATCCTAGCACTTTGGGAGGCTGAGGTAGGTGGATCACCTAAGGTCAGGAGTTCGAGACCAGCCTGGCCAAAATGGTGAAACCTCGTCTCTACTAAAAATACAAATATTAGTGGGGCGTGGTGGCAGGCGCCTGTAGTAACAGCTAGTAGGGAGCCTGTGGCAGGAGAATGGCTTGAACCCGGGAGACAGAGGTTGCAGTGAGCCGAGATCACGCAACTGCACTCCAGCCTGGGCAACAAAGTGAGACTCAGTCTCAAAAAAGAAAAAAAAAAGATTACTAAGACTCAGGCTAGTGACCCCCAGGGTCAAAGGCTCACCAGAGCCTTATCCCACCTGGGGAAAGGGCATCTCTCCCATTTTTGACTCCTCTAGCCTTCCTGTCTCATGTAAGGAGAGGGGGAAACACGCCAGCAAACACTTGTGAAGGTCAGAGACTAGGGACACAGGCCCACTAAAAGGCCGAAGTTTAATAAGATTGCAGACCACTTCCCCTCCCCGACACCTTACCACCACACCCGCAGTGGATTCCAGCTGAAAGAGTGGCAATGTGCCTGGCTCTAAGGAAGGAAGACGTCTCAGGGAAGCCCAAAGACAACAGGGAGACAAAAACAAGGACACTAGAGGAAGTTTGCAGCCTCTGGCACCTACAGTCACAGCAAACATTCAATAGAACCTGACTTCTAGCCAGATTAGCATGAAACTTCACACTAGAGACCTGTTTGCCTCAGTTTATATTTTCTAATACAGCATGTAACTTCCAATAAAAAAATTATAAGGCATGCTAAATAGGTAAGGAAAAAACACATCTGAAGAGACAAAGCAAGTGTCAGATATAACACAGGTTCTGGAATTATCACATGGGGAATTTAAAATAACTGTGATGAATATGGTAAGGGCTCTCATGGGAAAAGCGGACACATCCAAGAGCAGATGGATAATGTAAACAGAGAGAAGAAAAACTACGACTCAAAAGGATATGCTAGAAGTTAACAATGACACTGTGACAAAAATGAAGAATACCTTTGATGGGCTCATCCAAAGACTAAACACAGCCAAAGAGAGAATCAGTGAGCCTGAACATACGTCAATAGAAAGTTCCCAAACTGAAATGCAAAAGTGTCTTCAGTCAGTTAAGAACTTAAGAGTTTCACCCACTTTTGTCTTCGTGAAGTATTGCTATTAGTCGCTTAGATCACTGTGTCCTCTGACAATCAGTGATTGCTTCTGTAGGACTGCTGGTCTTACAAGAGTTCAGGTCAGTGCTCAATCCTGCTCAGCAACCCCGGTAACATGCATGCACCCTCTCACCTACACAGTTCTGGCAGTCATTGCCCCATTGTTTCTTCATTATTTATTTATTTATTTATCTATTTATTTTTTGAGACGGAGTCTTGCTGTGTCGCCCAGGCTGGAGTGCAGTGGCACGATCTCGGCTCACTGCAAGCTCCGCCTCCTGGGTTCAAGC